GCGAGTGACAACCGCCTCCTGGGTGAGTCCCTTTTCTTCTTATCTTTGGTTAGGTAGCTCTGGGGAGCCAAAGGGGCTCTCCACAGAAAACCAGCATTGCATGTAATGAAACGCCATTTTCTGGGTGAGACCCGGAGGCTTCCCGGCATCCCTCCCTCCCTCCGATCGGCATTTTTTTGCGTTTTTGATACTCAGACTCTGAACTGAGGAGAGTTGCTGGTGTGTAGGTCTGGGACCTCCCATCTCCTCTCCCAGGGAAGGGGGGGGGGTTGGCCAGACAGATATGCGGTGGTTGTGGTGTCGTCATGTTTGTTTCTATGTTTTTCATTGGGAGTTCTGTTTGCTAGTTCGGCTTTCGGTTTGCAATTTTGTAACAGCAGTAGTTTGTTTTGAGATTCCTACCTTTCTGGGTGTCTGACCTGGTAGATGGCAGACAAAGACTGCTTCCAATTACACGGAGGTGTCTTTAGGCAATTGCTCTTTGTGCCTCTCTTGAGGGGGCCAGGTTCTGGCTCTGGTCCCCGGTAGGTTTAGAACTCCTTTGTTTGACTGTTGCCATGGTCTAATATATATACACATCAGCCCGGTATAGCTCTGGGGAGCCTCCAGGTCTCACCCAGAAAATGGCGTTTCATTACATTCAATGCTGGTTTTTAATACGATCCCCTGCCGCGAAGAATCGTTTTTTCATCCAAGTACACATTTTACTGTTGCGTTAAACAGAGGCTACAGTTAAGGAATTGCGCCCAGTAAATCCTCCCCGGCCAGGATACGAAGCCATGACATAGCGCTCGCGGAACGCCAGGCGAGTGTCTTACCACTACACCACGGAGACTGCATAAAGATTTGAAAAGACTTGAGAACACTTGAAAGATTATAAATACTTTTTGGGCCAAATTTTAAAATATTTGTTAAAACTCTATTTATTTGCTAATATTATGGGACTAGTTTTAAAATGCACACCTTTTGATTGTGAACAATTTGATACCAAAATGAAAGATGTAACATGAACTTTTTGTCAGAACACTTGAAAGATATAAATAATTTTGTGATGATGAGCATCCAAACTTAAAATATTTGTTAACCCTTAAACCACTAACTGTTAAATAGCAAACATCCCCAGGGCGCTCAAGAAAAAAATGGTTCTGAAAAAATTATTTTTCTTATGACATTGTTAATTAGCCTTCAGGAAGCACAAAAATCTAAATAAAAAGTCTCTAGCTCTTGTGGTTTAGTTATAGTGGCCTGGAGAAGTTGCATATTTTTAGTTGAGGTGCCGCATAGGAATAACTTTGTTGATTTATTTTCATTGTTTCTCAATTTATTAATTTAGTCTTTTCATGCTAACAGGTTGTATTTGTGTGTCAAAGTTACTGTCTATTATGTAAAACTTTGAAAATATAAGTATGTATGGATATACAAGTAAAGATATTGGTGTATACTGGCAGCAGGTTTTCTTTCAAACATGTTTCATTGAATATGACCGCATATTCTGTATTTATTATTTTCTGGTTTAGGGCTTCTATCCCTCTAACTATTTTCTTAGCATCAGGGCTTAATTGAAATAGGAGTTCTCCAAAACTCATTTTCGTACTTTTAAGGTGAAGAAAAGAAGTGATTTACTATAGAGTATATTACACTTATTTGTATAATTTGCACGTTTCGAACCTCCATGGTTCATTCTCAAGTGAAGTATTTCAACTAGTATTGTAAGATCTGTTCACTTGAGAATGAACCATGGAGGTTCGAAACGTCATGCAAATTATACAAATAAGTGTAATATACTCTATAGTAAATCACTTCTTTTCTTCACCTTAAAAGTACGAAAATGAGTTTTGGAGAACTCCTATTTCAATTAAGCCCTGATGCTAAGAAAATAGTTAGAGGGATAGAAGCCCTAAACCAGAAAATAATAAATACAGAATATGCGGTCATATTCAATGAAACATGTTTGAAGTAAAGATATAAAGACACCCACATACTTATTCATAATAATACATGTATAAATATATTTTAAGCCTAAATCTTAAAATTGCATATAGCACACATTTTGCCTCAAATATTTACATGGAAATCACTCATGTGCTGTTGCAAAAAGTTTAGTGCCTCCTCTATGGCTGCCCTAAACATTCAGATACTGGATGGTGATGTTGCCAAGCAATGGTCATCATTTTCTTACAAAGGCCCTAGAAGGAAAATGAGGGACTCTGGATTTTTTCAAGATGGGGGATGGTTACTGGTGGTCTGAGGAAGCAGATGTGAGCTCTATGTATGTGTAGGACTATTTTAACTATTTTAAATACGCAAATCATATATAAATGATTTGCGCCGTTTTGTGATAGTTACTCAAATCATACATGTATGATTTGCGCTGTTTAAGGGTTAAAATTCTAGTTATTGCTCTATTATTATGGGACTGGTTTTAAAATTTGATACCAAAATGAAAGACGTAAGATGAAAATTGATGTTATCAAACTGAACGAGTATACACATTAGGCCGTTGTGTGCAAATTGGTGCTCCTTCACTGGTAAATTTAGGCTTTGCTGTGGGGAATCATGCCGGGCTTTTGGACATTATATGCCCATACACCTGTAAGGAATTCTATTGCAAACACAATGATATGAAAATGAATGACATAACATGAGAATTAAACTGAGAAAACTGAAACGAGTATACATATTTTACTGATTTTGTGTGCTCACGGGTAGCTTTTGACAACTTTAGGCTTTGCTGTGGGGAGTCACACCAGGCTTTTAGACATTATATGCATATACACCTGTAGGGAATTCTATTGCGAACAAAATGACACCAAAACGAACGACGTAGCACGAGAATTAAGGTGAGAAAACTGAAATGAGTATACACATTTCGATGTCGCCTCGCGCTCGCTCGCACGCCGGGGGCATGATTTCTAAATTTGCGGCGCGCATGCCGTGCACACGAAAATGTTAAATTTGACTCTGGGGATATCAAAAAGATATTTATTTCTGGTGTGGTGATAATGGGTTCTATTACATCTGTCCAGGGAGAGTTTCAGAGCAGGGTTTGCATTTAAGAACAGGGTTTGTTAATGTAATCGACACGAGAATATTTGGAGTGAGTTTATGTTTAGCATGTTAAGAGATTTAAACAAGGGGGCTGAGTGTTGTCCGAAAGCAGAGTTTGTTATCATTCTAATAGCAGATTTTTGCTGGGTGATGATGGACTTGAGGTGGTTTGCAGTGGTTGAACCCCATGCACAGATACAATAATTAAGATACGGTTAGATTAGTGCATAATATAGTGAGAGGAGAGCAGAGTTAGGTACATAACATCTGATTTTGAAAAGTAACCAACTGTTTTAGACTTCCTTAGTTATGAGTTGTACGTGGGTGCTGAAGTTGAGTCTATTGTCTATGAATATGCCAAGAAATTTTTCATCATTTTTATTACTGATGTTAACATTGTCTATCTGAAGCTGAATTGCATTTGTTGATTTGCTTCCAAATAAGATGTAGTAGGTCTTTTCTATGTTTAGCGTTACTTTGTTTGTTGACATCCATAAGTGAACTTTTTTAATTCATTATTCACAACATTAAATAATGTGCATGGGTTGGGGTCTGAGTAGATGAGGGTAGTATCATCAGCATACAATATAGGTTTAAGAATATTAGAGACATTAGGCAGATCATTGATGTATATAAGAAATAGGAGAGATCCAAAGATGCTGCCCTGTGGCACTCCAACGGTTATTGGAAGAGTGGGAGAGGTTATATCATTGAAGGCCATATATTGGTGTTTATCACTAAGGTAGGATCAGATATAGTCCAGGGCAAGGCCTCGGATTCCATAATGATGGAGTTTAAGTAAGAGGTAGTTGTGATTAACAGTATCAAAGGCCTTTCTCAGGTCAATGAAGAGTCCAATCGGAAACTCATTTTTGTCAAGGGCTAAGTAGATTATATCAAGGAGACTAATAATTGCATCGTTGGTTCTCTTTTGGGAGCAGAAGCCAAACTGACAGGGGCTGAGTATGTAAAATTTTACGAGATAGGAGTAGAGCTGTTTGTAGATAATTTTTTCAAATATTTTTCATAGTATGGGTAGGTTTGATATTGGTCTATAATTGTTTATGTCTGCTGGATTGCCTCCTTTATGAACTGGTGTTACTCTTGTTTTTTTTAAGGATATCAGGGAAGGTGTTACACTCTAAAGATTTGTTGAACAGTAGAGCTATAGGTGGCACAAGGGCATGAGAGATACTCTTGTATACAATGGATGGTATTTCACTGATGTTCCCAGCTTTGGTTTTTAATGAGTGTATGATGGACACAACATCTGCCGGGCTGACTGGTGAAAGGAGAAGAGAGTTTGGATAGCTGCCTGAGAGATATGTGTTAATGTGTGTCTGAGTCTGTGGAATTTTACTGGCAAGGTTAGCACCAACCGATTAAAAGAAGCTATTAAAAAAGGTCTATTATGCATCACAAGTAATTTTCTAAATTTATTATTTTGTTCCTGTAATAATAATTACTGTATTAACTTTTTATATTAATTTTCTTGAATGCAGTCTGTGTTATCGTTATAAATTGTTAAATGGCATTGCAGCATAAAGAATAATAATAATATGCATCTTTTTGGGGACTTATTGATGTGAACTACAAAATGAATTAACAAACATATAAATATCTTTAGAAATAGCATATTTTGGAGCATTTTTCCTTAACATTTATTTTCAGTTACTTTTCATCTCAAACATAGGGTTATTTTAAATAAGTTCAGCTCATGGACTGTATCTCATGCTTTTATGGAAATGAAAGCTTAAATTTTAAGCTACATAATGCTTTTCATAGATTTAGTGTTTTATTATATAAAAGGGCTTTTGGGTAACTTGAATCATTTCATCACTTACTAAACAATCATATTCCCTGGCCTAGTTCCTTCTTTTGATAATTACTTAATTACTTAAACTATCATGTTAACAAGTCAGTATATGTCATTTATAATTGTAATCCTACAGGCATCGGCGAGAGTTAGAAAAGAAAAATTTGCTCCTAGAAGAGGCACAGACACAAACCTCCTCTCCAGGGGGGTCATCTATACGATCGGGATTCAAGAAAGTGTCAAACCTGTTACAAGTAGTCCCAATGCCTATGAGTGTGCCTCGAAGAAGGTCCGTCACTGTCCTCCAAGTGAGTAATTATCTTCCGGGTTTCATCAGAGTTAGATTGAACTTTAGCCCTCCAGGTTTGCCCCACCTCCAGGCAAATTTGGAAAAATGACATTGATGTAGCAATGGATCAACATTGAAAATGTTAATCCATTGTTGATAAACCCTTGCACTGTGCAATTGTTAAATGATGAAATCCTTGTGGTGAGAAAAAAAAATATTTTTTTTTTCCTTTGATTTGGTTAATTAGCCTCCAGGAAGCACAAAAATCCAAGTAAAAAGTCTCTACCTTTTGTGGTTTAGCTATAGTGAACTGGAGAAATAACATTTTTCTGAGTGGAGCTCCGTCAGCTCCCTAAAGCTATCCAAACTGATATGTGCTTTATTAGTTTGGGGCCATCAGCCACTAGAATCCTTAGGCCTACCGGGAACCACGAGCCAGAACCTGGTCCCCTCAGAGATCCGCAGGGAGCAATGGCGTATGAACACTTTACATTTTAAAGTATGTCATATTCTGCCATCACATTGACCAGGGTATATACCCAGAAAGATAGGTGAGCCAGAACAAGCAACTAGCTGACAAAATGCAACCCATAGCCTGAATGAGCCAAGAGACTCTCCATTAAATATTTAATTACTTAAACGAAAACCGAGCAACTCTACACACGAACTAGGAGTCCCACTCGTTGTAACAGGCTCAGGCGAGCCTACTGTCCATCCTTCAGTCCTCGTCTGATGTCTTGGCAGTCACAATCACTTCTGGCCTCACTTTCCTTTCTGAATTTTACCCTGTGTGGCTGTGTCAGCTGTGTGGTGGGATGTTGGCCAGGGGTGTTCTTAATACTTCGAGCTGCATGCGCTCTGGGTTACGGTAATCCAGAGTAGGTAAGTACTACTTACCTACTACTCTGGGTAGGTAAGTACTTACCTACTCTGGGTAGGTAAGTACTGCCCTTGCTTACCAGGGTTACCTTTCCTAGGCATTCAGGACATGCTCTCTGTTGGGTAACACTTTCCTGGATTTTCGACTTGGAATTACGGGTGTTTTGCTTAACCGCTTGTCGGATCACGACGTAAATTTACGGACCGTGTTTTATATTGGGTATTTACTACTCGATCGACTTGGGGTTTGTATGAATATGTTTGCCATTAAATTTTCGTTTTCTCTAATAGGCACAGTGCCTATTTGAGAAAACGGCAATGTATTGTAACTTAGAGGAGAGACTATTGAGTTGGTGACACAACGAGGATACGCCCACTCCACACACTCTTGTGTTGGCCGCGATCATGATTCTACATTTATATGCATATGTCTGTGTAGAGAATTTTATTCCGAACACTATACAAACAAAAAAAACGGTGTGAATCAAGTATAAACTTGAAAAAACATGAGCAAAGTAAAAACTTTTTACTCTCACGGGTACAAACACGTGTAAGATTCGCGTAAGATTTTATTCGCCGCAAATTTATTTGACGCTCTGTTGGCCAATTCTACCCATGTTCTTATAGAACTTTCTATTGCGAACACATTGCTATAAAAATGAAATACGTAGCTCGAGAAATAATGTCAGAACAGTGAAATAAGTATAAACTTTCAAAGCGCTGCATCACAACAGTGTCGTCGCTGCTGAAATCACGGCTAACGCTTCGCCCAGTTCCCACACTCGTGCGGAACATAATTAGACATTGATAGGCATATGTCTGGGTGGGGAATTTTATTGCGAGTTCAGTGATATCAAAATAAGCGCTGTAGGATGACTGTGAGGCTGGCAACAAACGAAAGAGTATGAACATTTACTTCCTGTTTGGGTGTCACGGCGAGTCATCTTCGTGTTTATTTACTTCGTGGTGGGATAGCAAATGCTTGGGTGACATTTTATGCATATGATCTTGTAGAGAATTTTATTGCCAACGCATTGATACCAAAATGAAAAACGTAGCTCGAGAATTGATGTTAGGAGCGTGAAAAGATTATAAACTTTTTTGTGTTTACGCTTGAGCGCCCAGAACGCCGCGCGCACAACCCGCTTTTTTTTTCAGCGAGTGCCGCGGGGCGCACTAAAGTGTTAAGGGTCGGGTTGCCCCTCTGTGTTCTTAAGTCCTGCCGGCCTGCAGTTTACTCTCGTGCATGTGCCGTACATATGTATGCAGCACTCGCTGTCATGTTTGTGATATGTCTTGACAGCTGGGCATAGGGGGTTTTGGTAGTCGAACAGGGTTCTGGGCGCCAGGTATCTTGTACGCATTTCAAGGCTGATCAGGCCTTATGTTGCTTTGGGGTGTTTGTCTCAGCTAGCTGTTTCAACTAGTTTTGGTTTGCCTATCTTTCTGGGTATATGCCTTGGTCGATGGCAGAATATGACATACTTTAAATGTAAAGTGTTCATATGCCACTGCTCCCTGCGCCTCTCTGAGGGGACCAGGTTCTGACTCAAGGTCCCCAGTAGGCCTTAGGACTCCATTGACTGATGGCCCCAAACTAATAAAGCATGTATCAGTTCGGGTAGCTTCAGGGAGCCTCTGAGGCCATCCCCAGAAAAGGGCATTTCATTACATTCAACACTGGCTTTTTTGAGGGGAGCCCCTACGGCTCCCTGAAGCTTATCGGGCTAATGTATGTTATATTAGACTGGGACATTAGCTATGGAGTTCAGACCTACCAGGGACCATGAGCCAAAACCTGACCCCTTCAGAGAGGTTCAGGGAGCAATGGCCCTGGAAAACCCCCCTTATGGTTGCGGGTTTTCCTTATCTGCCATCGACCGGGGTTAGTCACCCAGATAGGTAGGCATAACAAAACATACCCCACATGGTAAGAAACTGACAACAAAAACCGAACAGAGAAGTAGAACTCCCTATATTCCCAAGGAAACAAGGAAATGAGCAAACTTAACACACTACTGCCGCGCTGCTCATCTGCACAGCCCTCCCATCCTTGAAAGGGGGAGGGGGGGACCCCGGACCTCACCACGCCAGCTGCATAGCACTCCAATTCGTAAGCTAATGTCAACCGGGACAGACACTTCTCTGGCCTCAGTTTCCTAGGCGTTGTTTGCCTTCGTGGCGCTCACTGCAGTGTTTTGTGTTGAGCAGTGGCCAGGTGTTCCTTATCAGTATTGGGGCTTCCTTCCCTAAGCGCCCTATGAGTACTGCCCTTGTGTGACAGGGTTATCTTCCCTGGGACGTTCGAGAACCATACCCGTAGAGATTCTTGCTGCTCGCCATTTGCCTCGTCCTTGGGGCCAGCTTGGGCTTGGGGCCCTTGTTTGGCCTTGGGTAGGCACTAGTATGGTGCTGGTTAGGGCGTCAAGGTGTTGCACGACCTGCTACCTAAGCGGCAACCGGTTCCTGTTGCCCCTGGGGACGGTGTACTTTTGTAGGGTTTTTCTTTGGTTTTTATTTTCATTTGCCTGGTGGGGATCTGCCTAGTGTGGCTATAGTTTCTCTGGTAGTGTTTGGTTGGCCTCTGCTAGGCTCTCGTGATTGTAGACGTCGCAGGGGTTTTCAATGTTCGTATCTACCCCTTGTTAGCTTTGGGTGTTAACCGGTTAGCAACATTTTGCCCGGGCATACCATACCAGTCAGCCTACGGGCCCTGGAAAACGGTATCGGGGCTCGGTGGACCAATGGATGTGTCTTCTGGGTTCCATCCCTTCTTGTGCAGGTTCGTTGGTTGCTGTGCGAGATGCCAAGACCCGGAGTCTTGTGAGATGTGTTCTCTGCTTGTTCTCCAGTACTCTTCTGATGTCCTTACGGTTCAGAGAACAGGCGGCATCAGCGTTTCAAGCTTGGTTTAGGTTGCTGCAATGCGCTAGGTTGGTTTCCCACCTGGATATCCTGGGGTCACCCCATTTTAACTAGGTGTTGTTCACCCCTTTCCCCCTCACTGTTCCCAGCTCCTGACTGTCGGCAGGTTTTGTGGTCGAGGCGGGGTTTAGTTGGTGCTGAGACTTTGGCAGCTTCAAAGGCTGCCCCATTCGGGTTGGGGACGGAGGTTTTTGAGCCTGATCCTCCTGCCGAGGCTTCTGGGGTCTTACCAGTGGCCCTTTCTTTGCTGCCTTTCCTCTGGACTCTTCCTTTTCTTTAAGGGCAGAGGGAGTGGAGGACGGCTTTGCCCCAGGGCCTTCTGTTGCGGGTTCCCGGGACTGTGGGGAATGCTCGCTAGCAGTTCAGAAAAC